CCCCCCATTTTAGACTTGCATATAAAATGCATCAGGGTATCTTGGGCCATAGATTGTCCACATAGTTGAAAAGGATAAATTGATTGTTATACATGCATTTTTATGAGCATGATGTGCCATACTTTTTTTTTTTTCTGGATCATGTCTACCTCCAGAGTTATAAATGGCACATTATCATTGATTCCTGAAGCAAATGCTAGTCTTTTGCACAATCTACTTTACAAATAGAGGTTTGACTCTGATGTGATGTATATGATTTGTGAAGACAAAGTTCTAAGAGGTAGATAATAGCCAGAATCTAAAAGGAAGATTAATTGGCATTTTTGGTTCAAGCTGCCACTTTGTCTGTTTTTATATAAGCCATTTAATGCACCTACAGGCTCTGCACCTTGTTATTTTGATGCACTCCCAAGCAGGCACGTACAAACAGAAAATTTGCTCAAGGTGTCTGGCGATAATATGAGTGGCTTAGGGCTCTCAGCATGGGGTGGTATTGGTTGGTTTACCTCGGGAGCTTAGTTGGAGAGTATGTGGAGCTCAGATAAGATTGATTGACGCCCATCTGCTCTGATCAATAAACAGATATAAGCATGCCACATATCTACAAAGCCCACTGTGTGTGACTGTGTCCATGGTATCTTTCTTGCACTACTTGGTTTCCTAAGAAAAAAAACACCCTTTCAAACGCACACAGAAACAAGTGATCACGTTTACTAAAACTGACTCACTTTGATATGCAATCTTTCTAATTTGTTTCTTCAGAACACATATGTTTTTAATTTAGTATTATCTAATGTACATAGTGTGTGTAGAGGTGTAGTTATTACAGTGTAGGTTAATATTGTAATCCCATGAGAAATGTATAGCTCTGCCTTACTTTGAATGCAGATACATTTTGTGAAGTGAAGGTACAAAGTAAAAAAAAAAAACAATAATTACAAAACACACATACACTAAGACCAACAACATAATATGATGATCCAGATTTTTTTCATTTATTATTATTATTTTTTAATGTAAACATCTTAACCACTGGAAACTTGTATAGAATCCAGTCTTCTCTCATTTCCACTGAGATTTATCTCCAATAATAGCAATCTAGCCCTTTTGTTTTCATTCCAGTCTTTTTAAAGGACCTCTAAACCATTATTAAAATGGAAATTTCCAAATGAATAATACTGCAAAAGCTGAATACTGCAAACACTAATCAAGTGGTATAATAACAAGGTCTTACCAATGGACATTAATTGTTATATTTTCTATAATTGCTCACTACATGAAATAAGAAAAACATGGGCAAAAGCAACAAAAGTAAAATTGAGAGCATGTAATTTAAGAATAGTTAATTTCTCTTACTAAGGGCAATGTGAAGAAAAGATGTTGCTTAAAATAAATGAAAACCACTGTAGTTCTTAGCAGCACAGTGGTTTAATACATAAATATGTGAATAAATTATAAAGAAAGAGCTTTTGTCTTGACCAATCATACATAATTTGGTA